AAAATACTGGTAGGAGAGAAAGCATGGAGAAATTTAAATCTATATAAAAAATATTACAACAACAACAACAACCCAGTTAAATCCCACAAGAGTAGGGTCTGGGGAGGGTGTGTGTACGCAGACCTTGCCCCTACTCGAAAGTAGAGAGGCTGTTTCCAAAGAGACCCCCGGCTCAACGTCGAAAGTTGCATTGCTTGACTAACTGCTACTTCATTAATTAAAGAAGCGCAGACAGTTTAGAGATCCATTTTGATTTATTCCATCACACCCCAAAGCCAAAAAATGGTGAAATTTTGGCTCCATCAGAGATGATGGAAAAAAAAAATAAAAAAAAATAAAGAAATAATGACAAGTCGTGTTCCTTTGCATTTTCCAAGGTCAAATGAAACATGCCGTTATAGTTAGGAGCCTTCATTTCCTTCAAAACATATTGTAATGTTTTTAAGTGTATACATCTAGGCACTCAATTGCAACAGTCTAATTAATGGGTGGCTTTAATATTTTGCAGAATACAACATCAATGGATAACCAGATGAGGCATTTGGTGTATCTCATAGAAAATGCTATACTAAATCTTCCAGAAGGTCAAGAGCAGATGGCATGGTTGATAGACTTCACAGGGTGGTCTATTACCAACAATGTCCCTCTCAAAACTGCTAGGGATAGTATAAACATATTGCAAAACCATTACCCGGAAAGACTAGCCGTGGCTTTTCTATACAGCCCTCCACAAATTTTTGAAGCATTTTGGAAGGTTTGCTTTCATTCTCCTCATATTCGTTTTAGTAACAACATGGCTTTGAATCCTTTGATCCATTCTTTGCCATTTCCCAGCCAGGCATGTAAAAACTCTATTTTTACACACACCCTCTTAAAAAAAACCGATGTTTTTCACTTTCCTGCAGATTGCCAAATTCTTTATGGATCCAATTACTTCTCAGAAGGTCAAATTTGTGTATCCGAAGAACAAGGACAGCATGGAAGTGATGAAAACCTACTTTGACGTGGACAATCTCCCAACTGAGTTTGGAGGAAAAGCAACTCTCGGTTATGACCACGAGGAGTTCTCGCGGCAAATGGCACTAGATGACCTTAAAACTGCCAAGTTGTGGGGCATCGACAAACCCCACACCGTTCCCAGTATCTTATCTGGCGCAGAAGTTGCTTCACCCACAGAAGCCTAGCTAACCACTTTCTTGGTGTTCCTTAACTTAGTTTACATAATAATTATCTCTCCAAGAGTCAATGCCACCATTGTGTTTTGCCCTTTGGAGCATGTGTTTGATTATATTGTTCTCTTTTGTACAACTCTACCTTGAGAAGCTGTAGAGGCTCTCAATGGTGGCTGAAAAATGCCTGTTTGGCTGTTACTATGTAACCTGATACTAAAAAACTTTGCCAACTGTAATGCATATATATTTTTGTTGTAACTAACAGGTACTCCAATGCTGTCTTGTTTGACAACCTTAATAAAGTTTCATAGTAGTTTTTCTAGGCACAATTCTCTAAGCCAAAGACGCTATTAATAATAAATTGTCTGGTGTTGTTTTTAGTATATTTGTGGTCACTCTGTCTTGTTGTTTTGTGCCAATTTTTTCTTCCCAAATATGTAGCATTATTAACAGCTTTCATTTTAAAGCAGTCTCAAACACTCCCTTTGTACTCTTGTATTAATACAAAGTATTCATGTTTTTCAATATTCTTTCTGATCATGTCAACATTTTCAAAGCAACATTTTGATAATACGAAATGCTAATTTATAGAAAAATGAATCATAAACGAATAAAATGATATTCAAACCGAATCATCACCGAATCGAATGAATTTTTCTAAACTAATTCAAACCTGAAATGAATTACACAGTAGTCATACGTGGTGAATGAGCAATATGCCTCTTTCTCTTTGATAAAAGTTTAGATAATGCAAATTTTTCCCATAAAAAAATTACTTAGTACTCCGTATGTTTTTCCTAAGAAAATATTTCATTTATATTTTTAATTCTTACGGAGTGCAGAAATATGATTGAATTAACCATATAGATTATAGAGAATCTATCTTTTTTCGTAAGAAAAAAACCCTTTTAGATACAATTAACAATCATCACAAGTATTATTTCTCTTCATTATTACTAATCGTAAATCCTTCTTGGCCTTGTGCAACGAAATTTTTCATTTCAACTTTCTTTAGTATATGGACAAAGGGGCTGCTCTTGTACTACAATCCTTGAACATTTCGGTATTTGCACATAGCAGAACCAGTTCACATTTAAACTCAAACACCAGCTTATCACTTGAAGATCTTTTAGTTTTTCTCTTTTTTTTCCCCCTTAACTGCCAGAGCTTGGAGGATAGAAACCATCTGTCATATTCTAAAGGGAAAAAGCACTTGCCAAATATTGGAAAATTTGCCCTTTTCCTTTACTCAGTATAAGTGATCAAGCTCCAAGGCAATCCTTGACCCCCTGTTCAAATATGTTGAGAGAAGAAATTGTAACCACAAGTGCATCTGCTATCTTCTGTCTGTAGCAGCAAAAACAAATTGTGAAATCAACAAGAAGGAATTCTTCACTTAAACTCGCGATTTAGACTTTGCAAACACTCGAAAGCAAATAAGCAGAAAAGAATGCATGAAATATCAAATAATCCTATTTCTCGCGCAAAAGCAGCAAAAACTTAACTTTTCGATTACTCTCTCGTTATAGAAAGAAAACGAATGGGACATGGTGGTTGCACGAGCTCAATGTCTATAAGTACCTGTTGGAAGCAACTTGAACATCAAGTTCACTTGCCATGCCATTGAGAGAAGCAAAGCATCTGCACACGCATAGGGTAATATAAAAGAGCAACCCCACATCATACACACTATACATTTTGCAAGCGCAATCATCAAAAGCACGAATTCGCTGCCAAGAAATATGTATGAAACTAGAAAAGAAATCTATAATCAAAATCTTTGGGGAATAAAATTTCAGAATTAAGAAATAAAATGGTAAAATCTCGTCAACGGGATTGAATAATCTTCTCTCTTTTATTCTATAAGTAAACCTCTCTTATTAGAAGACTATTTAAGTAAATAAATCTCTCATTGTGCTATTAGATTTTGAAATCATATTACGGTCTACCTTATTAGGTCAGTGAGCTTGGATTCAGCATCCATCTTTAAAGGATCGTTATCATCAAGTAAAGAAGAAGCATTTTTCAGAATCAGCCTGAATGTGCAGACCTGAAGTTTCATAAAGTGTCTTAAAACAACATTAAAATTAGACAATATCAAAATGGCTCATTAATCAGCATTTGCTTCTTACTTTCTACGAAGTTTTGAGTAATGAATGCAAGAAATGCATAAATGATTTGAGGGAAATGGTGAAATATGACATCCATTTCCTTCCATCTCGACGATTCGGATAAATAAACCAAACAAAAAATCAATTGAACTTCATTTAGTTTGCAGATAAAGATGAAAACCTCGACTCCAGCTCGGGATTGAAACTGAACGAAACGATTCCTATCTTGAAGAACGCAATCCCTAGCAGCAGACTTTAGCAAGCTCTGTACTTCTTCCAATTCATTTTCATCAAATTCGGATCCACCGTTCTGATTCACTGTGAATATCGATCGAACAGAATAAATTATTGGCAACCCTAATGCAAATTAGGTACTCGAAACACATTAGCCACCACAGATATGAAGATTTACCGAGAAGATGATGAGCCGTCTGGAGGCTATTGCGAGAGGCATTTACAGGAGCCAGTAAGAACTGGGCCGAATTCTTCTTCTGCTCTTGAAGCCACTGTTTCGGTCCTGCTGAAATTTAAGCAGCAAAAGAAAAAAATGAAATTAGTAAGAATTGAGAGATTGTGAAGAAGATAAGATGATGAGTTTTATAGTACAGATGCCGAGCGAGAAGGCCGATGCTGCCGGTGGATGGCGGAGAGAAGGAAGAAGGGGAGCGAGTAGAGAGAGCAAAACGACGGCGTTGCGGCGGCAGATCGGCTTTCCTTCACGCTGAGGTGAATATTTGTTGAGGTTTGGCGGGAGCGACGCTGAGATAGACGTGGCGGAACCGGCGATCAGGAAAAGTCTTGGTGGTGGAGACATGGCGGCGGCTTCGCCGGCGATTAAAAGGTTCCGCGGTGGATACGAGTAGAGCCGCCCTTGACAACAAGGCAATTCTAAAAAGAAAAAAGTGGAGATGCGGGGGATCGAACCCCGTGCCTCTCGCATGCAAAGCGAGCGCTCTACCATTTGAGCTACATCCCCGATTTGTTTTCCTTTGTTAAGAAAATAAATACGACTAATATTAAATCAGTATATCAAAGATTCAAAGGAGACGCACCATTCTATTATTTTTAGGATTATAGGATTCATTTACATGAACTTATTTTCCCACAAAATGTTTTAAATTTTAAGCGTTTTGTGATTTTTTTTCAAAAATACTATTTACAGCTAGAGAAATTATGTCAAATATTTTTTTCTGCGACATGTAAAAATTAATTTCAGTTTTTTGTTGTGATTTGAAATTTGAAATACACAAGCATTTAGTAGTATCTACGTGTTTTGGTTCACCGTTTACCCACTAACAGATTAGTAATAATTAAATGCGAATGAACTTATATATTTTAAAAATAAAATAAGATGAGATTATGAGATATAATTTTTTTAAATATATACTTTTTATTTTTTGTCAAAATCATTAAGGAAACATAAATATAATTTTAGGACAAAAGAAGTGACTTACAAATACTCCGTAGTAAGTTTTTATCAAAATCAATAAAATACAAAAAAAATTAGTTTTAACCATGTGTTTACGTAAACTTAATTTTAGTTTCATACATAATGTTTTTTCAAATCTTTTAAAGTTAGAGAGCATCAGAAAATAACATACTTAAATTTAATGTCGATCCCACTCCATAACTATCAATCAAATTTCTAGATTTCGGTGGTGAAAATATATTTTTTATTTTTTTGTTGCCTATTTTCTACTACCATTTCTCAAGTTACATTATAATATCAAATTAACACTTTCACACACACTATTAAAAAACATAAAATAAACTATAAAATATGCAATAGTTTTAAAAATATTAAAAATTTCGATGACACCATATTTTTATCAAAAGAGTTACTAGAAGAGATATAATATTTCAAGTATCATGCTTTTATGCACAACATATTTCACTATAGGTTTTCAGTTAACAAAAAAATGTACCAAAAAAGATTATGTATTTTTATCAAAATGGATCAAACAATTACTTGAAACTAAATTGAGCTAAACAAAAAAATTGTGTCAAAAATTGTTGACTATTGCCAAGCTGCCCATTCCGACCAGTCCACGTCCCCACCTAAAATGCGCCTATCCTCCGCCGTCCCGCTCCCTTCCGACTTGCAATTTCCTTCGCTAAAAACAAAAAGCCCACCGCGTCGCCGCCACATCGGCACCCAAATCCGCCGCCGCGTCCCAGTCACGCGAATTGCCCCCACCGGTTCTTGTAAATACGGACAACCCAACTGCATTTGGCGTTTTTCTCGCACGATACGCGGAAAATCCGGCTCGCCCTTCCCCTTCATCCCGGTAACGTAAATACATGCAGAGAAACCGTTCGTTGAAGATTAGCACACGAGGAAAATCCATCCTGTGCAGCTCAATCACAGTCAGCAAGGGATTAAGACCCGACTCGATTAGATTTCGGGTTTCTTCTGGTTAGCTGCCACTTGTCACTCCAATTCGCGGGATGGCGTGGTGTATATAAAGGAGACGATGCGAGTTCCCAAGCTTTCGGTTACGTTTTGCCTTTCGGTCTTCTCTCGTTCTCACCACTTTTCTCGAAACATCCGCTTGTATTCGCAGAGCTATTTCGCTGGAAGAGACGAACCAGCTCTTTCTATAGGTACAATTAATGGCGGATATGATTCTGCTCTTGCTGTTCTCTCTTCCATTTACAGTCTGTGTTGCTTCGCTTCTCGCTTTAGTTGGATATATGTGGTGGATTGAATGCTCCTTCTCTTATGCCTTGCTTCGTGATTAGATAAGAGTCTATATCTAATCATTACCTTTTTTAAAGCTAGTTCTTGTAAATTTGTGAGGCGAATTTTTGGTGGACGAGTTTTCGTGAGTGGATTGAAAGGATTAACGTGTTGTCTTGTGAACATATGCACTTCGTTTTTTTAGCCATTTTCACCAGTGCTCTCTGCGCTTTTCCTTTCAAATTCTTGCAAACCTTCTTTCTTGTATGTTGTATGATGAAGAAGTTTGCTAAAGAGAAGTTTGATGTTGAAATGTTTTCCAACGAACATCTATTCATGATTTTCTCTCACACAATACACACGCACACCAACATTAATGCCCATGGAAATTTGTATTTTATAATTTGGTAGTATGGTTTATTGGAATTTACTACTGATTAGTATGTTGAGTAGTTTACTAGGCTGTTTTGTGGAGGCAAGATAATTGTGTATGGTGACATATCTTCAGTTTATGAGTGAACTTAAGTAATTAACCTTGACGTAATATGGTTGTTCCTTGGATCACATCTTGGATTTTATGCTTACAAATCATTTGTAAAGGTAAGCTAGTAAAATTCTTTTTAGGAAATGCTCACTTGATGCATACTTTTTTTTTCTTTTTATTCCCTGAGTTCATTAATATCATTTTGCATTATTAAAGTTGTTAGCGTATTGAACTCTTTTCCGTTATCTATAGACTATAGACATAGAAAGCTGATGGTGTTATGGTTGCAGAGTGCTTGTGTTCATAGCACAAATGTACTGAGTAACGTGGATGCATAAGGAATGTGATAATTTGGAATTTTCAGTGCGTACATAATTGGAATGTTAATTTTCATATCACTTTGATAGTAAATGCGCGCAGAGTACTGCACTACTGAAAGATCTTGTAGGGTTAGTGTGTGGTATTCTGCTTTTAGTAAAAATTTAATTTCATTGCAATTACCTTTTTTGGCGGTGTCTGCACATTTCTATTTCTATTCTTGCATAGTTATCCTCAAGAAATTTAATTATGACACTCGCAAATGCATTCAGGTTGTAATAAGTTTCATACACATATTGCAATGGCTGGTGTGGGCCTGGAAGACAAGAAGAAACCACCTGAGAGAGAAAATTCTGCTGGTGATGGTCAGCGTTCCTGCACATGGACATCTCCAGGAGGGTGCAAAATTGATAAAGGAAAGCAGATCTTTTGCAATAGATCTCTGAACATGAAAAATATAGTTGCTGTTGGGTTTGATATGGATTACACTTTGGCACAGTACAAACCGGAAACATTTGAATCTCTTGCATATGAAGGCACCTTAAAAAAACTGGTATTTGATTTGGGATATCCTCAAGAGGTTAGTGCTTACTATGATTGCTCACGCGTGTGTCTGTAAGTGTTGTCTTACCGTGAACTCCAAACAAAAATATCATATACTCCCTCCTTCCCACAAAACATTTCCGGTTTGAAAAATAGATGGCTTTCGAAATGTATAATTTTGGTGTTATTTTCCAATTCTAAGTTTCTATTCTACACATCATATCCCACCCTATTATTAAGTTAGGGAAAAATTAAAAGAATAATACCAAAATTATACATTTTTTAAAGCTCTCCATTATTTAATCTGAAATTGCTTTGTGGGATGGAGAGAGTATGATATATTCAATGAATCTGAAATATTCATTTCTTGAAGGATGCCTAGCTTTATGGAGACATTTTGGCACGTTCCCTCCTCCCACTTTTGTTTAGTTATAATTGTTGCTTCCTGTCTTTATTTTAGTTCCTGGTTAGACGAGGCATGTAGTTTAAGATAAGTGTTGAAAATTGAAAAATGTGTTGTTGGAATTTGTTTAGAAGAAACTAGAAAGGTAAATGTTGTGAGATACTTATTTCATTTTTAGAAGGAAATGGAAGATTATTTTAGCCCAGACAAAAAACAAAGAAAAGTGTGAAATTTAAATAGGGACGGAGGGAGTAGTTTATAATCAACAATTGGAGAAATTTTGTAGTTCCCATGGTGTAAGTATAATGATGATCCTTGTCATCTTAAATTTCTTTTGTTTTTCTAAAGCTATTGCAATGGGCATTTGATTGGAGCTACATGGTCAGGGGTTTAGTTCTTGACAAGAAAAGAGGGAATATATTGAAGGTTTGTAATAATCAGTTATGGTATGACGATTAACATTAATGATTCGATTTGAACTTTTGTTCCTGCATTCTTTCTTTTTTAACAGATGGACAGACACAAATACGTCAAAGTTGCTTACCATGGATTTCGGGAAATGTCAAAAGAGGACAAAGTTGCAACCTATGGCAATACTTTGCTACAAGATTCATTTGATGAACCCGATTATGCACTTATTGATACTCTTTTTTCCCTGGCTGAAACGTACTTATTTGCTCAACTTGTGGACTTCAAGGACAATAATCCGGGAAAAATTCCTCAAGAGTACGAAGAAGATAGTAACCAATGTTGTTAGTTTAAGAAGCAGTGACGAACTGTTTTCCATTTTTTCCCTTGTTCATTGTATAGATGATATATGCTTTTATGTTCCTAGGGAGGGGGTTTCAGTTTCACCATCCAGTCTTAAAAAGCATTATTAAAATATTGAAGTGTTTCCACATAGACTATTTTATCTTAAAGTTAATCAGTTTGGATTGAGTTTTCCTTCCCCAGTTCCATTCTAGTTTTGAGAAGTATCATCTTTTAGTGTTTTAGAAGCTTCGCTTGGTTTTCCATAATAGTGACTTGCAATGAATTTTCAAATGGCATCTAGTGCCCAGTTCAATCCTTTTGAGACTTTTAATGTGTAAGATTAGGGTAGCGGGGAATGGAGACATCTAGGTAGGACATATTATGTCAGTCATTAACTGTTCCCTTGACCAGGGACTCCTTAATTCAAAATGGCCATCCGGGGTATAAACTGAATGAGCATTATTTCTGGTAATTACAGAGAAAGATTTAAAGACAAGATTGATAACTAACATCAAAAGTTTGTGATTGTGTGTCTTCAGTTGTGATATACTTATACGAGTATCAATATGTGAATCAGTTAAGCCTTTTTGTCTTTCATGTGTCAGGCATACTCTGTATATGCAGTACATGTTGATGTGACATGTATCACCTTTCCTAAAATTCTTTTCTCATGCTGCTTTATGTATCACCATTTATTTATTTGTTTGTTTATTTATTTATTCATTCATTTATATTTATTTCTTATCTTCATCACTGAAGATCTGCTAGTCACCTGAAAGGTGGTGAAAGCAAAGTTTGAACTTC